GCAACTTTCAAGACATTTTTCACCTGCTCGGCACAAACGGAAGCACTTATCTAGTCCTCATTATTGTCATACATGGTCCTTAGGACAACATCATTGGAAAATGATCTCACGAGCCGAGCGGATATCGGGTCGGGGTTGAACAGAAGAAAATGTGCGCTCTGGCTTCCTTCAAACGCATCGGTCGCCACTTCACCAATGTGGCGCTGAAGAAGGCCGGCGTTGACTGTTGACAAGTAATAAGTCAGTTGGTCATTCTGCCCTCATGTTCTGTCCACTGTCCACTATCATCCCTCGCTCGAACTGGCTGTCTCTTGTTCTTCCTCTTCTTACCTACCTATATTGGTAGCTCCCCTCTTCGCCAATCTTCAGTTATCCAAGCACAGATATCCACCCACTTCATCCATATTCGGCTGAAGAATCCTCTGGCTCAACCTATAGCGCAGGTAATCTGACCTTCGAGGAACTCAAATACGTTGTGTTGATTGTGAGGGGTCTGGTCGCGTATGAGAGCCCGACATTCATGCCTAATCGCTACAGTCACATCGTCACGGACGCCAATGGCATATCGTCTCGAGCGCCGTCGAGAGCAAGCTGCGTGGAGACCTTGAGCGGCTTAAGCGTAGGCGCACCCACCGTAATCTCCGCCAACATTGGGACCTGCGCGCCCAGAGATAGCATATCAAAACTCCTCGTCGTTAAAGTCGTATGATCGGTATAGCTAAGAAGAACAGTTGGTTCAGGCGTGGGGAAAACCTAAAGAGAGGCGGAAGAGGAGCAAGGGGGTGGGGGGTAGGGGGGTTGAAGCGATTTAGGATGAATAAACCATAGACTAGAGCTACAAGGGTCCTTGTTGACACTCGCAAGACTTTCCTACATGCTTTGTTTGGACTAGGATTAGGAGAAGTCGTCCGGACTTCCTATCTCTAGCTCTTTAATACAAATTTCGCTCTTTGAGTGTTTCTATGATGCGCCTCTTTGAAGTTTGGCATGCCTAGGGTCTAGTGGCTCTGGCAACTCGAGTCGTTTACATTGTTTTATATGAGGTCTCAACCTAGAACGCTTCTCAATTTATCCATTGCTAATCAAGCAGTATAATCTGACTAAAATTGGACGTGAATAACGTTACACTCTCGTATTTATATTTTTGTGTAATAGAGAAGCTCTAGATCGCCGGCCAGTAGTGTCTATAAGTCAATAATTATTTCAGACTGTTGGCAGATCGAATCAAAAGGGAAAATTAGAATGTGGTAACTTGGCATGTGTAGTTTGTATTGGTTGTGTGGCAGTGAATATGGTGGTACTGCGCCAGTAACGTAGGTTAAATGGTAGATGTCTTGTCATCTAGCAAATACTAAGTATAAGTGTGTAGTGCAGTTACCATCCTCCTTTGCGTAAATACTGATATCTCCATTTTTCGTATATCCAAGCCCTAGGAAGCTCCAATAGTGCAAGACCGACGAAACCCAATTCGGATACTAACTTTGGAAATCTAAAGCCCTGCATTAGTAATATACTCGTAGTATTTCGTACGAAGTGAACATTATAAACAAGAGCTATCTATTGCCGGGTCTTCGTTTCTTATATACATACGACTATCTAAACGACTGCCGTACGGGTATAATACTTATCCAGAACACCACGAAAAGGTGCCCGGCATTCGTCCTGGACCTCCACTAAGACCACTTGGCACCTAGCTTCACTGGCACACTAGTTACAATAATATCCAAAGCCCCATATTCCCTCCGCTCAATAACCCGCGTGTATCTCTTTGCCCTGGCACTGTGGCTGCTGAGGTGTCTTGTGCGTGCTAGTGTCTCGTTCTTCCCTATAGTAGTATGTCAGTGAGAATTAGCAGAACATAAAATAGGATGAATGCTTACCTTATGCCTCGAGAATGATGGTGGCTACTTCTAATTCCTTGCTTGTAGAAGATGTGTGCATGTACGTGGTAGCGAGTTAGGCAGGTAGGGACTGAAATAATAGTCAGCAGTAATACATAATTGACCAAGGCAGGAAAAAGTAAACATACCTTTCGTGTGCAGGAAACTGCACATATTGCCACCGCTAATCTGCCATATACCAGCCGCCCAAGCAATGTTCCAAACTTGTCAACAAAGCAACACTTACGGTAGTCCCCGCCAATTCCCAACCCCGAGTGAGCCCAAGCCCTTTCTTACCAACTTTCCATGTCATCCACCCAACAGCCCCCAGTGTGCTCGCATAGGCATTAAATCACCTCAGTCTGCGATATGCAGCGTTCAGCAAGTGAAACACGCTCGGCTTATGACGTTTTGGTGAGTCGCTCGCAAGACCCCCTAGAACAACAGAGCCATTGGCAGCCGCATAGCGACGCTGGTTGAAGCTTCTAGGTTGAATGAGTTCTACCTCTTACTAACACACCGGAAACTGTGGGCTTAGCAGTACTTGGGGTGCACGGACTCAAACGGTGAAGGTAAAAAGGAAGAGAGCCGCAAGATGAGTCAGAATGCCGAGGTAAGGTCATACTTGGTGGTGATAGATGGAAGTGGTATGATGCGTGGTATGGTTCTTCGTGTCTTGTCTTGTTTCGGTTTTTTTCGGACTGAAGAAAAATGTAGGTTGGGAATGTGAAAACAACGGAATGTAGAAACTTACCTGCCTATGCAGTGCAATGGAGTGTTGAAATATCCTTGACGTGTTGAAGCAGGTGGTATCGTTCTTCTTAATGCTAATAGTCGGAGCCTGTGAAATGTGTGCAAAGGAATAGTCAGTTACAAAAAAAAAAAAGGAAGGGTGGAATCGAAGTGAAATGTGTTGACATATCAGTATTTAATAACCCGAGGATTCAAGGTCGTGTATTTATAGTGAAGATGTTCTATGTTAGGGCTTGGATGAAGATAGGATGCAATGATGGTGATCAAGTATGAGATAGAAGATGGTTAATAAAGATTAAGAGGTGATAATGGTTGTGTTGTATCCTGTGGAACGTTGTATGAAGAGCAGAGAGGAAAGAAGAGTTCGTAGGAGCTGTCCTGCCTTTTTATAGGGGCGCGAGAGAGTTGGTGCGTGTGTGTGCGATCAGCCGGGCAACCAACAATATATCAGGTGCTACAATGGTTGACCGGAAACCTGGGATACCAAGGTAAATTCTGATTGGTGCATCGACCAATGGTCTCGCAGAGCCGCATCGAAAATCAACAACACAATCGGTACGTACCTATTTTTCTTACATTGATTGGCCAATTGATTCTCGTCTCAGGTCAAGACCCGGATTTTCTAATCTGCTCATGCATGTGCACAATGATGTTGTCTCTCGATTGATCCAGCCCTGCCTGTATCTACAGCTACTTCGACTCAATTGTTGCCACTTATTGTTCCCAGACGGGGAGTCACCACTCGCCCACTCTGCAAGATATTGACGGTTACATTGTGACAGGGCTGCAACAATGTTCCGTACCTAGTCGCCAAATTGTTTTGAGGCTGTTATATTATCCCAAGATTCTTATGTTGTTCCAGGATTGGGAGCAGATCCCAATGCAGGATTTCTCATTGTCGAGTTGTGTGCCCAACCTTGGAATGAACAGGACAGAATATGAATATGTGATCGATATGGTAGCTTGTGGTATCATGATAATTTACCTATGAGATGCTGTGTGCTGTTCCATGTTCTCAACAATGTGACAGCAATGTGGAAAATGGTGTGCCATTAGGGTTACAGATCCTTTTCCCTTTATTGTATAGTCAAATGCTTTATTCTAATCTTATCGGCGAATTAGATGCATATGACTCTCAAGTGTACTGAATCGAGATATTATGTATTACTTAATGAAAGTTGTATCAAGAATGCAGTCGTCTTGACCACCCAAGAGCCCCGAGAATAATTAAAGGGCAGAGATCAAGGGAATGCACTGCGAACACTGCATTCTATGACTAAGTTAAATGTCAGATATCGATAGCTCGCGGATGTGGAACAGATCGAGGAGAGGTGCTGAGGGGCTGTTAGAGCAGAAGCACATCCATCTCGCAGTAAATATTGGATTCTTGATGCAAGGTATTATTAAAAGTATCTACATTTAAGACATATATATATATATATATATATATATATTTTCATGGGTAAATGCTACAAAAACTGACGCGCTAGGGACTGCACCAAATCTACATCACACGCATGCCCACGTTCATGTAGGCCAATTTGATCTCAGTGCAAGAAGGTTCCCAGCTGGTCACTAGATAGTTGAAGGTAGGGCTTGAGGCTGAATATTATAAATTCTTGGTCTTCCCAAATTCAGATTCGAGATGCTCAATCCATGTATCTTCCGTGGAAACTGATCAATTCCTACCACTCAGTAGTCTGTCTATAACCAATGTCTCCTGTCGTTCAATTAGGCCACTTGTATATTCAAGTCGCACAACTTCAAAATAGTTTGCTGTCGTTATTTTTGTTCTGTGCGTACCTTCATCGCACAGATCCAACTTTGGGAATATTATACTCACCCGTAGGCTTATCATAATTGGATCCTCAATTGCGCCAAGGTGATATAGCAACTTAGCGTGCACAGCTGCGAAAATGCAGACGACCTCTCCTGGAATGCGCGTCTTCGTGTGACCCATTAAGCACTTTGCAGGTGCTAGACAAGTCCAATTGGGGCTCTTGATTGTGTTGAGATGAAAAGCTTCCGAATCGCCTTCGGCCGATATACGACTATGCTTCAGTGTTACATACTTATGAAACATCACTGCACCTTAGTTGAAGCAGAACTACTTCTGGCGCTGCTTTATGAGAGATATGCATTGATCACTTTAATGATCACTTTAATGATCGCTTAAAGAACTGCACCTCGAGAACTAGTGACTACTAAGTAGTGGTCATTCTTCCATAATCGTAAGCTTATGATGAATATGTGGGAAGGGTAATGAAGATAAAGAAAACAAATAAAGAAATTAAGAGAAAACGAGAAGATGAAGGGAAGAAGGAAAAAGAAGAAGGAAAGCTAGGAAAAAGTAAAATAAAATGAAAATCACCGAATAGGGGAATCGAACCCCTGGCTCAAGAATGAGAATCTCGAATGTTAACCACCTATGTAGTGTTAATTTATTAACGTCCGATTATTGGGGGAGGGTCAGCTCACTACACCAATTCGGTTGGAAGTCGCTTCACAAAACGCTCTTAAATGGAAGATAGGCGGGTTCCGGTGCACAGCGGGATTGAGAGGGAACTCTGTTCGTCGCTTCCATTCCTGGCTGCGTGTATGCAAGTGACCGTAGTCATTGCGTCCCGCGTCATGCATAGACCAATATGCCCAGAGAGATACATATAGAGTTGGGGGGGAAGTTACGAAGGATAGATTTGCCACTGCATTGAACACAGAATATCATTCACGACCTAAATGATGTTTCGGGGACATGTTGGTCTATGTAGTTGTAAAGCTAGGATTGGTTATCTATTGCAGCGAAGGCCATGCCTAGATATCGATACAACCCTGTCTATATGAGCCAACAGCAAACACATCATCCAAACTTCGATTCGTTTGCTTTTCTGGCCTCACGAGCTACTTCTCACTTTCCTTATATTGAGATTAATGTAAGTGAAGTGCTACGTCATTTAGGTAAACCCTCAGAAGTGACTTAATGAACTCTTCGTCCAGCCTATTTAGCGGTGAACTGGAATCGAGCCGGTCATGGTGATGAACGAACAGATTGGAGGAAGGTCGGGATCAAGGACCCAGCTGAGGTACAATACGCTGTAGACATAATAGAAGCTGGCTCACGAGTTTTTCTAGTGTCTTTCAGGTGCGTTTGTGGATGTTTCTTTCATGTTTATAAGAACATAAAAATCTTGCATCTTGGTGCATTCTACACAAGATCTAGGCATCATGTATGCAGGGGTTTTGAGGTACTTTAAGGGAAATACTGGGTTGAATATAGTGGCAATTAACACCTACCTTGAAATAAAGACTTTGAAAGCATTATTTTGAGGAAAAACATGTGAATACACATCCATTTCCACTTGGGACTTTATTTAATATTATATCTTATAGCAAGGTAGCATGGTACTCCTACGGAACCTCAAAGTATACAGTAACCATGGCCACACTGGATTTAGGGGCTATAGAAAAAGGCAGTGCTAGCTCTAGATGCATCACCGTATTTGCTTTTGGACATAATTTTGATAGTCTAATCAATTTAGTCCCTGCTCGTAGAACTATTTCAAAGTTCGCAGGCTTCAGATCTGATTGCATGAGCGACATGGCTCATCTCGTTACACGATGCTGAAGTCTTGACGATGGTATGGAACCCCATGCTATAATCGGGGAACAGAATACTGCATAGATTCTGTCAGGGCGTCTAGTCGATCTAGAAACGGCGAATAAAAGAACAGGAACAAAAAAGCTAAAAATTGAGACAAGAGTTTGATTTGATATAGAAGGAGTAGACCCTTCGAATGAGCTGGGACTATCTTGCGGCGCGCCCGGCTTTGCTCGATGTTATTGTCCATGTATGTACATATAGTATTATAGTTTGAATCTTTCCAAAGCTGCTATGCAGTATAATCTTGCTTTTCGCTACGTTCGTTATTGTCGTGATTCTCGTTACGAACCAATACGCTACATCAATATATAGGCGATATGCCGTACTCTCGGTTCGCGCATCTCTAGTTTCCAATACTTGAGTTATGGGGAAATGTATTGTTCCTTGCAGGGAACTGTGCCAGAAGCGCATAGAGAATTAAGGGAAGTAAAAGAATGGAGTACCAGACATCATTTCATACGAGTCATGACGAGGTTCACGACTCTCCTGTGCCATTGACTCGAATAAACCGTTTTGCATATGTTCCGGTAGCATTTCCATGAATGGGTCAAAATCGGCGATGCCATACATGGGTTCACTGTTGGTTAAGTTGTCTGATGATGGGGTTGTTGGTGTTCTTGTTGAGTCTGGGTTGGCTTGGGACCATTGACACATGCCTGTTGTATCCACACTATCGCTGTCACCTGTCGTAGATCTCTGGGCAAGTAGTGCTCGCCTCCCGGGCGTTTCGTAGACGACTCGCTGCCCCGGCATCATCCACTCGCCGGTCTCTGACCTAGGCCATTGTGTCTGCGTCTGCTGCTCCGCCTGCTGCATTTCTCGCACGCGCTTGGCTTTGGCCATAAGAAGGCCTATCGGTTTTAGCAAGTAATTTCCGCGTTCAGTGCCGTTTCGCAGCTTGATTCGCAGCCACTCGTTGTGGACCGCCGTCACATATTTCCACGCCTCATCGCATTGTGGAGACGGTGGGCGGACACAAATCTCTGATAAGACGAGTGCTATCGTATACCACTGGATGTATGTGTGTGAGTGCCAGGACCAGCGATGAAGACGTGGGTCTTTGATAACGTTGTTGGACTTTTTGAGCGTATCAATTGCAGTAGTGAATAGGTGATTCCGTATAGCTGTGATATCGGATTGGGCTTGAACACTGCCATCAGTACTGCTGGCATCGGCGGAACTAACATCGCGTTTTCGAGATACCAGTTCCGTGTAGTATAAAATGGTCCTCATTCGCGCTGCGGCAATGTGGGCTATTTCCTTTGCGAGTGATTGCAATGGATCACTTGTATCGCAGCGCTCCACGTACTTCCTGATCCACGAGTCGAACTCGTCGACATGCTGGACAAGAACTTCGAATGAACTGCGACTTCTCGATAAGTCTCTCAATTCTCTAGTAACCAGCTTAGCGTTATTTCAAGTATGAGCATTGAGTGATCTGAAGGCCGCCCCTCCCCCTCCTCCCATTTCAATTTTTATTTTTATTTTTATTTTTATTTTATTTAATCCTTTCCTCTTCTGAAGAATTGTGAAAAAAAAAAGGAGGGGGGGGGTTTAAGCGGGGGCTGAGTACCGAAGTAGAGCTGAGAGATGGAAGAAGGTTGAGGGTGAGATTTGAAGCTACTTACCTTTTTAACTTCCAGGTGATACGCATTGCTTGACATCGGACGTGGAAAAATGTCATTTCTGTAGGACCTTCACTTTCAAGTGGTGGTTCTGTCATGTCAGGCGAAAGATCGGAATCGTTAATGTTGAGTGGCAAACGAGTATCAAATACGGAGTCGTCAGCCACGATGGGTTCAAAGCCGTGATACTCAGTGGACCGAAAATCAAGCAAGCAGAGATGGTGCCACATTCGGCGACGTATCTCTGTTTCAAAGGGCGGAAGTTTGAATACCGTTCCGTCACGGTGCAAGCCCATGGCCCTAGCTACATGTGACGAGAGTGCGATGAGCGACCACACTGTACGCGTACCATCATCTGACCGCAGCACAGAGATATACAGTAAAGCTGCCTGTAGTAATAGTATGCTCTGCGTGTTCAGGAAGTTAGCTCGTGCCAGCGCTTGTTCAACTGCGAACCGGTATCGCTCGAGGGCAGCGGGTCGCGGTGCTCCCACAATATCAGCGCACTGGGTCAAGTCCAGGCTTATGATAGCCGAGTAGTAGATAGCAAATAGAAGGGCTTCTGTTTCCTTATCCAGAGAGTCTGTTGCCACGACTGCTTCCCAGAAGAGGCGGGTCAGAGTCGCGGTATGGAAGATGCGCACAACTGGTAAAACGTTATCGTTAAAAATCTGGAAGAGAGCCATGGATAATTCAAGAGGTGGGTGATATTCTTGCAGAGAATGAGCAAGCGAGCGGTAGCCTAGTATGGCGGCGTTTGTGCCTAAAGATCCTGGAATCGGTGACTCTTCATCGTAATATGGAGGACTGTCCTCAAGCTTGCTTGAGTCGTCGTCTTTGGGATTGGGGTCAAGAAACATGCCACGCAATTGTTCGATCTCTATGGTATCAGCTCAAATTTCAAATCTATATAGTAAGATTCAGAAAGACTAACCGACTCAGTAAGATCTGCCCACATCACATTGCTAACATAACGACTTTGAGACTCCTCCACGACGAGGCGGCCCAATTCTTCGTTCACTGTGGTCGTCGGACTCGCATCAGTGGTTAAGTCTCCGCTGTCCCTCGCTTGGGAGGGTCTGGATGACGCGTGGTGCGATGAAGCTTTGGAAGTTGCATGAGAGTCAGCTTCAAGTTCCTTAGTTTCCTGCTGTAGACGCCTGATAGTCGCCTCTAATTGGGATAGTCGATCTAGTATTTTGGCATCTATAGCTTGATTTTGACGTGGCCGCTTAGCTGCTCTACCCGCACCAGGCGGATGAACACAGGTGGTCCCGGCCCTTGTGCAGTTCGAACATGGCTGCCGGCGATCACATTTAACCTTGCGCTGCCGACATAAGACACAGCTTCGGAGATGTGTAGGTTGTGCAGGGCTTGATCTGGTTGAGGTAACATTTTTATCTGCGGGTGCAGCTCTATCATCCGGAGGCGAGTGGACCATCGGCACGGGATTAGCGGGTGAGGTCATGATTAGGTACGAGTTGGAGAGTTTTAAATCGTGTCTCTAGTTACACATGGTTATGCATGATTGAAAGCTAGCTACCTGGACACACCTTTGAAGCAATTTATAATACTTCGTTACAGGCATACGCCGACTCTGTCGACCTCATACAAACATAAACCTGGTTCGGTATATTGCATGATAGAAGATTCGCTTGGGAATGATGACAGCATGACATATCTTTGACCGAATGATTTGGAAGAACATCATTCTCTAGGGCTACTTGACGATCTAAATGTTCTTGTCTGAGAATTAACGTTGAAAACAAGGTCTATCGGTATGTACATAGCATCGTAATTTACATAGGTAGCATTATAGATCTGTTAGGGTCCACTAAGACGGGTAGCTTATCCGAGTCAGTCCAGGGGTTATCACCGTCGGAGGCTCACTCGGAGATACGCAAAGGGAACTCGGAGGATGCGGTAGGAGTATGGGAATAATAAGGACTTGGGATGAGGGTTCGGATGATTCCACTCACCTCAATCAGCTTCACGAAGTATATCGTTCTTCAGAGCCCTTTCGTCTATCACTCACGTTTGCTTCCCCTCATCCACAAGCAAGAAAAAGTACCGATACAAGCTATCGAAGTACTCAACAGTATAATATAATTAATAGCATCTAATTAGTTCACACACTGAAAGTTGACATGGTG